CTCTCTCCGTTCTTCCCCTCTCCCTCCTCACCCTCTCTCTCTCCTCTTCCTTCTTTCATACCTATCCCCAAATCTTCAGGGGGACCCAGATGAATTTGGGTAACTCTCAAAAAACCCTGGCAGAGTGAGTGGGGAGTGTTACCCCCCCCCATTTGAAGATTCTCAGCCTCCTCTCTCATTGAGTTCCAGAGCTTCACTGTGTAAGAGCTCGGTTGAAAGTGTGTTGGATATAGTGAAGATAAAGTGTGAAATCAAGTATGAAATTACCTGGTGGATAACCATACAAAGAGAAACTGTCTTAAGTTCACAGTTATTTAAAGGAGGTCAAGGTGAGTGAATCGCTCAGGGAGTACTTTGGGCAGTTGAGGTAACTGGGCCGTATAATGAGTGAGTTCCAAAATGATTAAAGAACAGCTGAAAACACAGGGTTAAAGCTTGTCCCTGGAAATAGGAGGTCTCATGACTTTTGAGCTTTATTTGACCATGGTAGCTTAAAACAGCCGTGGTGGTTGAGGGCCTTCCTCCACCCAAAAGGATGGTCCTAGGACTGGGAGAGAGGTTTTGAAGGTTATAACCATTCTGAGGCTAAAAGAAATACGTGCCACAAATAGCCTGACTTCTCAGCGTTGGAGGTCAGCCTCTTAGTACACTCCTACACTCAGAAGACAGAACACAGAGCATAAACTCTAAGACCATTAAATCATGAAATAAAGATTTTTTTTTTAAAAAGCTCTCTGCATTTTCTATGCAGACTTTTCTGTGTTTTACTTAAGTTTAAATATTGTCTTGATAAAATATCATGACCAGGACAACTTATAAAGAATTTGATTCAGGGTTTACCATTCTATAGGGTTAGCTTCTTTGACAATCATAGCAGGGAACATGGCAGCAGGCAAACATGTCCGCATGGCATCAAAGCTGTAGCTGAGGGTTTACAATTTGACTCACAGGCAAGAAACAGGGAGAGCTCACTGGGAAAGATGTGGGTTTTTGAAATCCTGTAGCCTTCTCAAAGTGACACACCTCCTTCAACAAGGCCCCACCTCCCCATCTTCCGAAACAGTCTTACCAACTGGGGACAAAGTGTTCAAACATATGAGCCTCTGGAAACCTTTCTCATTCAAACTGCTACATCCTGGAATTAGATAGGAAAAAATACCTGAGATGCTGACTGATTATGAGCTGAATGTTGGTTTGACCCATCAAAGATGGTAAAGGGATCTCGGGGTTCTAGTGGGTATGGTTATAGAAATGTCTCACAGAATATAACCACAGTCCATGGAAAAGGATGCATTAAAGTTGTTTTTTCTTGTTGCTGTAATCTAATACCTGTGAAGAAGCAACTTAAAGGACTAGAGGGCCACTCTGGATTAAAGTCCAAGGAGATAATGTCATCTTGGCAGAGAAGTTCAGAGGCAGGAGAATGAAGTGTCTGGTCACATGACATCTACAGTTAGAAAGCAGCAAGTTAAGAGAGAGCTGGGACTAGACTGTGAAACCTCAAGGCCTGCCCCTAGTGAGCCACTTCCTCCAGTGAGGTTCCTTGTCTAAAGGTTTTTAGGGCTTCCCTAAAGAGCCTCACTGAGTATTCCAACACGTGAGCTTACAGGAGAGATTTCACACTCAAACCACCACAGACTGCCAAGAGTTAAGTGGAGAAGAGCTCAGCAGTCAATCTGGACTCACACATTAAAGGTAAAATTGATCGTCAGAGAGGAAGGGCTCTGGCTTTGTGTGGAGTGTGGGAGCATTGTCTCCAGGGAGCAGGATGAATGAGCAAAGCTCAAGTCTTACAGGTGAGTCTTTAAAGACTTAGTTTAGGATTGCCAGAGGATAGAACCGAGGGACTCAGATCCTTTATCCAAACATTTATGGAATCCTTTCTCTCTGCAAAGGAATGTCATGAATTTTAAAGGGTGGTGGAGACAGTTCATTGCTCTCAAAGAGCAGAAGGGGTGAATGGTTTCATACAAGGCATGTCTTGCTTGTAACGTGGACACAAGCTCAAGAATAGAGATAGAAATGGGGAGCTGGGGCAGGGACGAGGTGGGTGGGGACTGGTGAGACGTCACAGCTGGATTGGATACTTATATTCTTTTACGATCTTTGTCATGGTTGCAGTCTAAAACCAGGCAAAGTCACACACAGCCTAATTGTCATTTTCTGAAAATTTCTCTTAAAACTTTTGTTATTTTGTCCCCCCCCCAATCCAGGAGCTGAGGCTTGCAAGATTGGCTTGCTAGGTAGGCACTCTACCATGGAGCTAAATTCCCAAGCCCTTCTCTTAAAACTTGGAGGACAAAGAAAGACTGGTTTTTAATTTACCAAAGTCTTATTCCACAAGCAGAGAGATAGCCACGATTTTAAATACCACATTCTTCTACATGCTGACCTCCAGGTGAACCAGAATCATTTGTTGAAAATACTGTCCTTTTTCCACTGGATGGTTTAAGCTCCTTTGTCAAAGATCAAGTGACCATAGGTGTGTGGGTTCATTTCTGGGTCTCCAATTCTATTCCATTTATCTTCCTACTTTCCTTTGTAACAACACTATGCAGTTTTTATCACTATTGCTCTGTAGTACACCTTGAGGTCAGGGATGGTGATTTCCTCAGAAGTTCTTTTATTGTTGAGAATATCCTGGGTTTTTTGTTATTGCAAATGAATTTTCAAATTGCTCTTTCTATCTCTGAAGATTTGAGTTGGAAATCTGATGAGGATTGCATTGAATCTGTAGATTGCTTTTGGCAAGATGGCCACTTTTACTATATTAATCCTGCCAATCCATGAGCATAGGAGATCTTTCCATCTTCTGAGGTCTTTTTCAATTTCTTTCTTCAGGTACTTGAAGTTCTTGTTGTACAGGTCTGTCACTTGCTTGGTTAGATTCACACCAAGGTATTTTATATTATTTGTGACTATTGTGAAGGATATAATTTCCCTAATTTCTTCCTCAGCCTGTTTTCCTTTGAGTAGAGGAAGGCTACTGATTTGTTTGAGTTAATTTTATATCCAGCCACTTTGCTGAAGTTGTTTATCAGGTGGGTGCTTCCATCCTTCTTAGAAGTAGTAACAAAATACTCATGGGAGCAAATATGGAGACAAAGTGTGGAACAGAAACTGAAGGAGGGGCCATCTGGAGACTGCTCCACTTGGGTATCCATCCCATGTGCAGTCACCAAAGGCAGCTGCTGATGTGGATGCCAGGAAGTGCATGCTGACAGGAGCCTGATATAGCTGTCTTCTTACAGGTCTGCCAGTGTTTGACATATTCAGAGGCAGATGCTCACAGCTAACCATTGAACTGATCATGAGGTTCTCAATGGAGGAGTTAGAGAGAAGACTGAAGGAGCTAAAAGGGTTTGCAGCCCCATAGGGAGAGCAACAATACCAACCAACCAGAGCCCCCAGGGTCTAAACCACCAGCCTGGGAGCACTTAGGGAGGGACCCATGGCTCCAGCTGTATACATAGGGGAGGATGGCATTGTGAGCCATAGGTGGGAGAGGAAGTCCTTGGTCCTGTGAAGGCTGGATGCCCCAGTGTGGGGGAGTTTATGGGTGGGGAGGTGGGAGTGATTGGGTGGGTGGGGGCATATCCTCATAGAGGCAGGAGGAGGGTGAATGGGATAGGGGGTTTCTCGGTAGTGTGGAAATAGGGAAAGGGGGTAACATCTGAAATGTAAATAAAATATCCAATAAAAAAGATGATTTTTGCCAAACAAACAAACAAACAACAACAACAACAAACAAAAACAAAACCCTCCACCATGTCCAGGACTAGAGACAGTGCTCAGTGGCAGACCACTAGACTAGCATGTACAGAACCCTAGGCTCCGCTCTCAGCACCACAGAGCAGAGAAAAACAGAACAAAATAAGCAAACACAATTGTGTTCAGACAAATTTTTATCTTGTATGAATTTTTATCATGTATGAATTTGCATACATTAAGGCCAAGACAGTTGAGATAGTTTTGGCTGTTGAGATGAAACAATGGGCCTATTTATAGAGAGCATAGCCCACAAACACAATTGAATGAGTCTACTAGGGATTCCATAGTAAAATACTCCCAAGCAGCTTACCCAGTGGAAATTAATTTTCTCAC